CATGTCCATCTTCTACAGTTTTTGACCTATTCTCATCAATCTTTCACAAACGTTCCATCGAGATTCCAGTCTCACCGTGCAGTAATACAGTACCGCATATATAAACACAAAGTTCACTTTTATCGCCTCTTTTGTGCCGCAGCTGAAATTCTGGGGGATACAACTTGGCTAGTCCAGTTGGTAGAACTTTAAGTCACGGCAGTTTCACTGTTCCTCTTCTAATATTTAAAAAGAGGAGAAATTTTTTAGTTATCTAAAGATGTCAAAGATGTGGAAGTTGTTACAACAAAAAATTGTTATGACTGGGTTTTTGTAACCTGAATACCTATTCTCTGTGTAACATTTTAGATGACAAGCCATGTTTCGCAAATTTTTGTTCAAAAGATCTTCTATGTATATACATAAGTTGTTGGCACATACTTCGGAAAATTTGAAGATTTTTGTTGGAAATGTGAAAAAAAAGTGAAACTTTGAATTTTACAAATTTTTACTCTAGTTAATTCTTTAAATACCACTAATTTTGAAACTTTTCTATCTGTAATCATTTTCTGAACTTCTAAGCTGCCATTTCGTTTTCATATCCTATTTTTCATTGATAAATGCGTTGTACTAAATTCGTAGCAACTGCCGGTCTCTATTTTTCAATTGCTTTATCATCGTTCTCTTCCTTCGTCAGCAGTTGTATATGCTTGAGATTACTCCTCATAAAAAGCAGTCTGAATAAGCAAGAAAAAATAGTTGACATTTATTATTGTTGAGAAGTATCAAAAACCTGATGTGATTTGCAAGAAGTTTTCCTACTGTATAGCGCTAATTTCGGCGTTACTTTCCTTTTCCTGGTTCACTGTTATATCTTTGTTGTTGGTATTCGGCATAATATGTTTCATGGAAACTCATCTAACTGCGTAAAACTTTATGAATAACTTTGTCCTCAGGAAAATTTGATGTTAGAATCTGCTGAAAACCGTTTATGGCTAACTGCGTTCTAGAAAATCATATAATAATCCTGTATCAAGGAATGCTTAAGAACTGTTAAAAAACATGTTTTGAGCAGTAGAAAAGAATACTAAACTGTTAATACTGGTAGTTGTAATAGACTGCTGAAATTTTTTTGCTCCTTTCTTTTCTTCTACTGATATTATGAGAATGAACTGAATGGAAGGTGGGGGCGGTGGGGGAGGGGGGAGGGAAAAAAGATGATAAAAAAAAAAAAAAACGCGGAAGTTGTTATCCAAGTGATAAACGATTCAAAAGAACTGATGAAAGGTTGAAATATTCCTAACCAATTCAGCATATAAAACTTTTTTTTTGCTTTGTTTCTAATTTTAGTTTCTTTGGCTTAATTTATTTATTCATTTTACTCTAACAAAACATTATAAAAATGTGCTATAGCACCAAGAGTTTATTATGTTTTCAAGCAGAAATTTTAGCTGATTATTAATTGAATTCGTTTTCAAAAGCACATTGATTACCAAACAGTGCTAATCTTGACCTCAGCATCTACCGACGACCAGCAGAATTTAAAAATATACAAATTGAAAAGAAAAACTTCTGTTGTTTATTTGAAAGTAAACTGCAGTTGCACAGTGTGACTACTGATATCAACAATGGTAGAAATATTTTTCTCAAAAATAAATCTTGTTTTTTTTTTAAATAGAATAAAAGATGTGGAAAAAAAAGGTGGAAAAATAGTTTTTTCTTTTTTTGAGGTAAATTAAAGGCAGTAATTGCATATAAAATAGCTTACAATGTTCCGATTGGAGGTAAAGAGGCTTGGCAAAGCAGAATTTATACTGGACAATTGTGAAATAAATACTAGAAAATGGTGAAGAAAAGAAGTTATCAAAAACTGTTTAATAAGAGGACAAAAAAATACATGTAGTTTGAAAAAAAAAAAATTTTAGACTTTTATAAGTTTAACCTAAGATAATGAACAATGGTTTTGACAGGGCAATGGCGTATAGTTGCTGGGAAACAAAAGGTTGCATTTACCCATTTGTTGGATTACTTTCGTCCTACTTTTTTTTTT